TTTTTTCCCCCCCCTGTGTATCATGTAGGTTTCTGGAGCTGATGCCCTGGAGTTGAATTTATCATGCCCGCATGGCATGGGAGAAAGAGGCATGGGACTGGCTTGTGGGCAGGTAGGATGTTTTAGTCACTTTCATTTCTCTGTTGCTATACAGCAACATTTCATTGATAGTTCTAGCTCAGGGCTAGAACACAAGGAGTGGATTACTATCTTGGAATTCCCTGGTCTCTTCCTCTTTAAATATTTAGTGCCAAAAATGGAGGAAGTGACAAGCGTCTAAGATTACACACGGTGTTTATTTTTATGGAAGACAAAATTGCATTATGCGCTTGACAGGAAGCAATATCATAACAAATAGTTTCCAAAATACTCAGACAGAATTGTACTTTATACATTCTTAATGCCGACTTCTCTCTCTGGGGAAGAACCATACAAGCAAAATGATGCTCGCGGGCATTTTACAGAAGGTTAGCTGCACTCGTGGCATTTTATGGTTAGTTGAAACTACACTAAGAAGTGATGAGGAATCTGTGTGGGAAAACAGAATGGACTTGGGTGACCTCTTTCTAAGCCATTGGTTTTGTCAGTTCAATTCCTAAAGTGCAGTCACGTATATATCCAGCTAGAACAACACAAGTTTCTCTCCCATGGAGTGATAATGGAAGACTTTGGTCCAAATTCCCTGAATGTTATAAACCCAATTAGTTGAAATAGAGGAAAGTATATTTTTTTTTAGTTGCTTCCAGTGCCCAGCTTTGCTTTTAAAAGGAAATCAGCATATGGGAATGTTAGGAATGAGGAGAAACACGAAATATTGTAATTGGATACTTCATAAGAAAGGGTTCAATTAGTAAGCTTAACAAAATTAAAACACCCGCTTTATATCTAAAGAAATAAACAGGGATCTATATTTAAGGAACCAATACTATAAAGTGAATCTATAAAGTGAATACAGAGTTAAGAAAACCATAACCATCTCTAAAGGCACATAATTTGTTTACAGGGAAGATTCATACTGCAAAAACAGAAATTCCCCCATTCCCTCCCTCCCTCCCTCCCTCCCTCTCCCTCTCTGGAATTGGAGTTGGAATTTGCTTTATTTGTATGCCGCCCTTTTCCCTGAGGGGACTCAGGGCGGCTCACAATTCAAGGGAGGGGGAANTTAACCACTGCACCACCTCGGCTCTTTAACATGCAGTTCATTTCCTAATTATTATTCTTAAAGATGCTAGGGCACCAAATTAGGAAAATAAAAAAGAAACATGGATTAACTCTCTGACACTTGAAAAAGCAACTATAAAATAAATTACACAAACCCACGAATGAAGCAGGTTATCTTGACATCATAGCTGATCATATATCTACTGTTTGTTGTGTTAATTTCATTGTCATATGTTGTTGTCCATGATAACATTAACGCTGTGTGTTCTGTGTTAGAGTAACCGAAAGAACCGTCATTATGCTGGGTTTAATCCCAATTGTGGGATTAATCCACAATTAATCTTTCACTGAAGGTCTTGCCTCACAACCTTTGAATATCTGATGAGAAAGGAGCATGGATTTCCCCATTATATTATATGTTTTTCCATATCATCAACTGAATTAATACAATAAAAGTAGAGTACAATCTTTTTTAAGGGAATATTCAATATCAGGAGTAGATTTTGGTGCCTGGTTGGAAAAGGGATCAGGGCATTAATAAATTATTTTAATCATACTGGGATTTTCAACAATTATTTGAAACTGTTTCGTGCATTTACAGCATACAAACATAATTGGCATGGGGAGAAGAATTAGGTGTGCTTCTTAAAATCAGACTATATTTATAGTCATTACATAGGTATAATTAACTGGCATTTAGAATATTTGTTAGGTAAATGACAACTACTGGACTATTTAAGTTACCTCAAGGCATTTGGACAGTTTATTTTTTATAGTATCACCTTAATAAAAATAAAAAATGCCTAATTACCATTAGTTACTTTTCAAAGGACCATCAGTTCTACCTGAGATTTTTATTAAATTAAAACAAGAGAGATTATTGCAGTTTGAATTCAGCCTGGCAGGAGAAGTATTACATTTCCCCCAGTTTTCACAGCCCTGAAAATGGTATACATAATAAAAAGAATGTGCAGTTAACACCATGCCTAGTTTGGCATTTACTGTCACCACAATAAAGACCTTAAATATGGGCAGCTATAACAGAGTCATAAAGTAAGGCCTAGAATCAACTCAAGGATTACCCATGGTATGTTTACTGTTAAAGAGGAGATGGATATGCTAATAGTCTCAAAGTTAAGGGGTGTCCCATAGAAATGCAACTGTATTTTATGTTCCCATACAGAAAAAATGAATTCAAACTACGAAAAGCTACAGGCTGCTTACTTAAACATAAATACCACTGAACTCAGTAAGAATTACTTCTGAGAAGTATTTACGCTAAAAATAAAGAAGTACTTATTAGTTCCAATTCAACACTCAGAGATCTTTAGATAAAAGTTAGAAGGGCACCTGACATTTAAGAACTCAATACATNTCTATATCTATATCTATATCTATATTTATATCTATCTATCTATCTATCTATCTATCTATCTATCTATCTATCTATCTATCTATCTATCTATTTTGAATCTGAAACTTTCTGCCTTTTTTCACATCCACCAGACAGGATAAAATGTTCTTTGTTTTTATTTACATTTTCAATATAAATTTGAAGTGCCTTTATACATTTTAGACAATTTATCTGTGTGATATATATACCAATGTTACATGGTTTTATAAAAATTCTCTTTAAGATTATGACCTCTTGTAAAGTCCTTTCAACCTCATAGTCACCCCCATTTCCTTTGAAAACAATTTATTGTTCCACTTTCATCATATATTCTTTCACTTCTTCTATTTCAAATTGCAATAAAGTTTATGCACTTTAACAATGGTATGTTCATGAATGAAGGTGAATATACATATCCTAGGATAATGTTGCAGGATCTAATCTGGGTCATTGTCTGGGACCAGAGGTTTAGTCTTCTGATCTTTCAGACTTCTGCTGTCACACATTCTAGTGGCATAGAAGTTCCCTGAAAATGGGCTCCAGCTCCAGCCAAAAGCTCGGAAGACTAAATCTCTGGTCCGGATGATTCATCCAGATTGGATCCTTCAATGGTATGTTTGGCATTTGTACATGGTCTTGTTTCAAACTCAGTTTTACATTGTTCAAAGTCCAAAATTATTTTGCCTTTTTTAAATCTTTCTGATAATTTTATATAATTGACAATTATTACCGGATTCTCTTACTGGATTTTTTTTTCCTTGATTTGATTTTACATTCCCCCCCGACAAAATTCTAATATCTCATAATAAGTTAGTCATTTGTGTTTGCTTATAATTTCTTGCCTATAAAATGCTTCTAGTGTTGACAGACACAAAGGTGTTTTCAATCACAACCTGGCTTTGTATCTGTTCGATATTCTCAATATGGCATATCTAACATAATTATGTTTAAAATCTACATTAACCTTACTTTATCATACCATAAATAACCCTGCCACCTGAATGTCCTTCTCACTGTAGAAGCCTTCTATTTATCAACAACACCCCACACTTTGATCCAAACTAAGAAAGAAGCAGCAAAATCTAATTTCAAATCCAGCAGATCTACATCTTGTTTTTTAGTTTGCGTTTTGTAACATTTTGCATTTAATAGCAATAGCAATAGCAGTTAGACTTAAATACCGCTTCATAGGGCTTTCAGCCCTCTCTAAGCGGTTTACAGAGTCAGCATATTGCCCCCAACNCTCTCTCTCTCTCTCTCTCTCTCTCTCTCTCTCTCTCTCCTCTCACTACAACATCTGATTTTAATTTTTCTTAGATGAAGAGACTATAGCATCAAAGAGTTCAGCATTTTGCATGGATTGCTTTAAGTGTTTCAGGTGGACTTAGCTTACATATCCTGCTAAAAAAATTAAACGTAATCCACATATAAAGCAACAATTTGTTGCATTTCATAGATCTGGTTAAATCTGAATGCAACATAGTGTATTTGTGTTTGTATGTGTGTAATTTTTTTCCTGCACTTCCAAAGATGCTTATTTTCTTTTTACATAGTTCTGTTGCTGTCTTTATTCCCACAACCAAATTATCTGATGCTACATTAAATCTGGAGGTTCTGCTTTGGCCTAAATCAGCCTTTCCCAACTGGTGCTTACCAGATGTATATTATATTTCTTGCAATATTCAACCAGGAAAATATATTGGACAAAGCTGCACAGATTCCAGGATATATTTATAGAATGTACATAGAAAGCCAAATACTTTTATGAATAAGCAATAAAAATGATGCAACATACAACAGGCTGCTTTGGAACTTGAGGGTACTCCAAAAGGTACACATTGAGACATATTTTTTTAAAAAAACTGCCCTCCCATATTTTTTCCCCATGCATAATATAGCTATTTCCTGTCTCACTTGGCATTTTCTCAAATGATTTTAAAAAAACCATTTTTCCCTCTTAGAACTGATAATGTTCTTCCTCTGAGATCTTCAGTTATATTTCTGCACCCGTTGAGACAGTCATTTTTCTATAAGAGATTTCTTGCCTTTGCTAATCCCCATCGCACAACTCAAAATGTTGAATTTCAGATTTTTTCCCCCATCTAAAACCAGGACATTACAGCATCTGCCATCATTTTCTTTAGCCCTCTCCTTCCTGAAGTATTTGCTCAATATGCATGGAGTTATCCTAGCCTTGGTTTTTGTATGTTTTTGGTATTTCTTCAAACCTCTGGTTTCATTCAATGGAAGTCTATAGTGCTTGTTTGACATAATACCACTAAGCCTTCTATGATAAAAAGAAACTGGAGAACAAATATGTCCTCATAAAGCAGGCATGACGAGGTTAAGAGACCAAGGGGAGGGACATGAGGACAAAAACAGTGGACAACTGAACAGTGAAAAAGAAGGGGAAGGAAGAAAGAGGAGATAATTAGCGGATATAATAATCAACAATTGTTAAAGAAGAGAAGAACTCTCTTGTTGTTAGTTCTTACAACAAAATCAATTATCTCTCTGTAAATAAGCAGAAAGTACTGCTGTTGTATCCTTAAACAGAAACACTCTATGTGTATTTTACATACAGCATAACTGCTAACATTATTGCTAAATAATATTTAAATTGTTTTGCATTAGCTGGACCTTTGAGTAAATAAGAAAATGTAGTTTTTCCTTTTATAGCTGAAACATACCGGGCTACGAGGAACAAAATTCTAAGGATACAATTTGCGGTAGTGGCAGCAAAATGTTAAAACTAAACTTAAACTTGGAAAAATAAGTAACATCAGCTTTGCTGCATCCTCCACTTCTATATATATATAGGTTGGTTGATACACTGCTGTGTTCTCATTTAGAAGGTCTTGTTTATGATTATTGCTCTACCACTTTGATCATATGGATGTCTGAATAGAGGAGCGAAGAACTAAACATATTTTCAAATGGCCTTACCACTACTGTCCTTAGCACAATCTTTCAGAACTCTATGATATTCATTCATTCATTCATTTTTTCCTGGGAATTTCCAGAAACGTAAATAGAATGTATATAGAAACATGGTGAAAGAGTGGGTGGGGAACTGCAGTTATTTTATTCAATTCTGAAGGGAACAGAGATTAAGGGCTGTTATTACTTTGGGAGCCACACTGTCCTATGTGCACTAGAAGACAAGACAAGCAGACAACACTCTCGGTTTACAATTTTAGACCAAGGTTGTGTTACATAGTCTGCAAGTTAAGGGGACCAGAACAGGAGTGCAAATATGAAGACAATCTTACAATAGAAAATTTAAGGTACAAGAACAAAACTGCAAAAACAGACTGTGGATATATTCTAGTTTTCTTTAAACATCCCTTCTAAACATAGGGACAATAGATAAACTTAGTGGCAGTAGTATCTGCAAAGGCACCAGCATCTGGGTTTCATTTTTCCATATAAGGTCAGATTGGAGAGCAGAGGAACAAAGATGAAGAAATTCAAGTGTCTAACAAATCTATTCACAAAGAATGTGTTAGATCGGGTAAAGGAGGCACAAAAGGCTTCAGTAAACAGCAGGTTTTTATTGCAAGTCAAGTAAACATCTGGCTGGAGAATGATCCGGCAGCATTCCCTTTTAAAGGGATCTGTCAGACCTCTTAACCAATGAGATTCAACCTCTGCTCCCGCCAGAACAGAGGACCTTGGTGGAAACCTCTTGCAGTCTGTCAGCGGGAGGGGGGATATCTAATACCCCTCCCCTCTAGGATGGAACAATCTAAATAGTGATGTAGTCACGCAGGTAGGCGGGCTTTTGCGTCACTCTGCCTGACCTGCGCAAATCAGTTTTGGTGTTTTCTTCGCACAAGTCGGACGGACCTGTTGCTCCTGTATACCCGCCTGGTGGAACCTCCTGGAACTTTTCCCAGGCCGTGTCTGGAACTTCTGATGTTGACTCGCTTGGAGCTCACTGTGGGCATGCATCGAAGTCAGATAAGTCTTCTGATATTCTCAGGCTTTCCTTGGGTTTGGAAGGACTATTATTTTTCGTGTCGCTTCTTTCCGTTTGTGCAGGAATTATATTTGGTTGTCTAAGCGCGGAGTTAGCCAAACGGCTACAGAGTTATTACCTTCTCCAATTTCTACCATCCTCGAGTTTTATTAGTATGACCGAGGACCGGTAATTCCAATTATGATCGCGGGAACCCATAACGTTCCCCCGGAACAGAATGGTTCTTGAAGTCATGGTGCTCTCCAAAGTCCTTGTTTATAGCTAAACCCAGAAATTACAGGCACTTTCCTATTTTAACAATTAGAATTTAAATGACCCTATCTCCAAAGATTTTCCCCTACCCTTCTGTAATTTGTCAGGTTTCTTAGACATTGGGAACAAAAAAAAATAGAAATGGGGATAATGACTATATTTTCTCCTTTGCATGAATACCTCTTTAGTTTTTTCTCTCAAATTTTGTATGATTTATTTGCATGAAAAGGCCACAATGCCTATACAGTTTAATTCTTTCCAAAACCACCAAGCTCTATAGGCACTTTCCTTTTTTGTAATAATCAAGCAGTCTAGCTCCAAAAACCCCTTATTTTGAATTTTAGATTTCTATTTCTATGAATGTGGACAGGCTTCTTCCCATCGGAATATTTTATTGTGCCTGCTAATCAAATCCCCTTCTGTTAAAAAAAACAGAAAATTCAAAATTCCCATGATAGCCGAAAGTAGTTTCAAACTTGTCTCACAAACCAAGCCACCTCTTTTTCGGTAGGAGTTGAATCAATCTATTTTCTGAAGTGCTTAATCAGGTTCAAATCAAACTTATCCCACAAGCCTATAATAAATTATATTATATGTTTCACTGGGCTTTATGTAGACATATGTATTATCCATTTATATAAATAAATGGATAATACATATGAGGCGCAGTGGTTAAATGCAGCCCAAGGTGGCACAGTGGTTAAATGCAGCACTGCAGGCTACTGCTAGATCAGCAGGTCAGCGGTTCAAATCTCACCGGCTCAGGGTTGACTCAGCC